ATGAACAATTAACACTTGTCAATTTGATGGTTTTACAACATAAGAATTAAAAACATTCTTTACAATTATAAGTCCTCGTGCTCGAAGTTATAGGGAAAACTTGAGCTACATTTCAAGTATTAAACAACAACAAAATACATAGTATTAAACAACAAAAAATACATTCTCCCTCCATCCCGCAATGAAGTTCCCGGATTGGCATACACACATATTTATGTAAGGTAGAGTTTTGTTTTGACTTTTCAAGATTGCTCTTACTTTATGTCAAATCAAGCAAAAAATGGGTAAAAAGTAAGGGTAGTTGTGACTTTTGGGATAAAAATGGTTTCCCTTTATAGAAATGAGAACTTCTTTTTGGGACATCCATAAAAGGAAAGTGAGAACTTCTTTACGGGACAAAGATAGTATTAAAATGTACTAATGTCCTTTTTTGTCTTTTTCTACTAATCGCTATGAATAATCAGCTAAGTTACCAAACATCTTTTTGCAACCCGTCAAATTAATCCGCTGGTCAAATCCGTTGACTCAATCCGCTATTTTTAACCCGCTAACATTATCCGATTACCGCTTACCGCCGATTGCCAAACATAGCCAATAGCCTTGGAAGTTTTACAAGTTAAAATTGTCTATAATGCTTTGTTATCAACCAACCTCTTTGTCTTCATTTGGCAGCTTTCCTCACTCGCAATTTATATGGTACACCCGGCTGTACCTTCCTCTTGGTACAGCCAGGTAATTTTGTAATAAACTGCAACTTCTATCCTCTTTATTTCTTCTTTTTCCCTTTGTTCGCTTTTTCCCTTTGGTCGTCGTCTCGCAGCTTTCATCTTCTTCCGCGGATTGCTTCTTAGTAGCAATGCCATAGATTTTGTTCTTCGATCGGTTCTTCCGGTCCTTCTTCTGTTTATTTGTTATTGATCTTCCCGGTTTTCTTCTGCAGCTTTCTCCATTCGTAGTTTCGATTTTACTTCACTGATCGATTTAGGTAAGTAGTTTTCTTTGCCGTTTTACATTTATATGTTTTTTCCTTCTTTCGTTTCAAATTCTTTTTTGTTTCATCGAAGTTATCTTTTCCTGTAATCATCTTTATTTTTACTCAACTTATTTTTTGGTTGTATTGTTATACGTTGTCGCTACTGTTATAACTATTATAAGTTGTTTCAGTTCAATTTTTTTCTGTTTTAGATTCTTATCGACCATATGGCTGATTTTGGAGGTACTTATTCTATGAACTAATTCATTACATTAGTTGATATGTTTTGAGTATTTAGTTGATCAGTTTTGAGTTTACATTTGTTTTGTTTGTTTTGTTTTTACTCTGTGCAGATTGTATTTCTCCCCGTGGAAGATTAATTGAGGATATAGATTCTGGAGGCGGAATTGTTGGCATTCAATCCAGTAATATACTTTCTAATTGCAACTCATACATTTTGTTCTTCTTTAATCAATCTGTTTATATTTTGAATTTTGTTTTGTGATGTTCTTGTAATGTTTTTCCATTCATCTAGATTTCTTGGATTCTGCTGTTAATTTCAGTGAAGACCAAAATCTTGTTTGTGCAACAGAATCTCTTTCTTTCGGACCAAGTATTGCTCATTTCTTACGTACATTGTTTCCCTTTCTTTTACTTGAATTTTATATCTTTAGTTTATTTTACCTTTATTTATTTATTGCAGCTGAACGTTCATCTAGTTTTGAGACTGTACAAGTTTGTCATGATCCTGTTTCTGTTGAAACCATATCAGTGAAGGAAGCTGAATTTTCTGAGTTGCTTGGTACAACTGTATTTTCAGAGGAAGAAGCATTTCAATTGTATAATGATTATGCTTTTCGGATTGGTTTTGGAGTTAGGTACTCTACTTTGAGAAAGAGGGATGGTGGTTCTGGCTTTAGGGGAAGGGAGTTCTGCTGCACTAAACAAGGCTTAAAAAAAATAAAGGCGTTGTTGGGAAGCAATTCACAAAAGTTGACATTCGTACTAATTGTAAGGCACGAATTTATTTTGAGATAAAATCTAGCGGTGAGTGGGTTGTTGTCAGACACCTTATGGACCATAATCATCAGTTTTGTCCAAACTCATTAGTTCATCACGTTAGATCTCATCGTTCTATTTCTTCTAATGAGTTAGATTACTTGCATCATTTGAAAAAACAAGGAGTCAAGATAGCTGATGGATTTCGATGTTTGCAAGCGGAAGCAGGTGGATCTCCTTCGGTTGGTTTTCTCTTGCGTGATGCATATAACGAATTGACAAAACAGGTCAAGAAATCTTTTGATGGTTCTGATGCCAATACCCTGATTAACATCTTTAAGAATAGGCAGTCAAATGAAGAAGATTTCTTCTTCTCTTTTGAGATAGATGTGGATGGTTCTTTAGTCAGTTTCTTTTGGAGAGATAAAAAAATGAAGGAAGATTATCTATCTTTTGGTGAGCTAGTTATTCATGATACGACCTATCGTACTAATAAATACGATATGATATGTGGACCGTTTGTAGGAATTAACCATCACACCCATACATGCATGTTTGGTTGTGGATTTCTTCTCAATGAAAGAATTGAATCTTTTGAATGGCTTTTCACTACTTTTCTGAATTCAATGGATTTTGTGCATCCGAAAACTATTATGACAGATCAGTCATCCGCCATGTCTGCTGCAATAGTTAAAGTCTTTCCTTCTTCAAGGCATCGTCTTTGTATATGGCACATAATTGAAAATTCTAAAAAACATATACGAGATTTGAGGAATGACGAAGGCTTTTTGGCTTTATTTGATCATGTTTTGAAACTCTGTCAGACTGTTGCAGAGTTTGATCATTATTGGAATAGGTATTTTTCATTGTCCGTATACTTCCTTTTATGTTTTCTGCATTTACAGTATACCTTCTTGTTGAGCAAACTGCTTATCTGTAATGAGTAATAGTGTTTTTTAAATGAGTATTTTGCTTCATATTTTGCAGGATGGTTTGTGAATACAATTGTTCTGATAATCCTTGGTTGACCAAACTGTACGAGATGAGAGAGAAATGGTGTCCAGCTTTTTCCAAGCAGTTCTTTTCTGCTGGAATTTTGTCTTCACAACGAAGCGAGTCCACGAATAACTCAATATCTAGAAAACTGAATGCAAACTCGTGTCTTTGTGACTTCTACCATTTTTTTAGTGAAAGTGTGAGTCAATGGAGAAGTAATGAGGGTAAAGATCAGCAACGTTGTTGGGATGGTTTTCCGGAAATTGCCATTCCTTTTGTTGGTTTGTTACATAAAGCCTCCAAGGTCTACACGATTGATGCGTATAAACTGTTTGAGAAAGAATTTCTACGAGGTATGTCCCTGAAATATGAACTTAGACATCAACAAGGTTCTTTGATGTCATATTTGGTATGGATGCCTCAAATAGATATATTTTCACATTGGGTTTCTTTTGATATGACAACACATTTTGTTAAATGTTCATGTGAGAAATTCTCAGAAGTTGGTATTTTGTGTTGTCATATTCTTCGTATATATCATATTCACTGTGTAGAAGTTATACCGGATTGTTATGTTCTGAAACGTTGGACGCGTAGTGCAAAGTGTGTTCCAACTGAACAAATATATGCCTCATCTGGGACTTCTAATGTTTTACCTTCTGTTTGCAGAATGCAAATGCAAAAGAAATTTCACAAGCTTTTGTGCTCTAGTGATTCTAATTCTGCAGCAAGGCATTTTTGTGAAGAATCTTTTACAAAGTTGAAAGTGGATGTTGAAGAGCAAGTTGGAAGTATTTACTTTTCAGATAGTGAATCTTCTACAGTTGGTTTGGGTTCAGCAATATCTAATCCAAAGTCTTCAAGGAAGAAGGGTGAAAGAAATGTTCGTCGCAAGAGTCTTATTGAAATCAAAACAAATCAAGCTAGAGCAAAGAAGAAGTCACGCCAAGCTAGTACATCTGAAACTGATCAAGCAAATTTGTAGTTTGATTTTTCCAATAGCTATGTAGTAATACTGTTATATTCACTAGTTTACTAATGACTGGTGTCAGGTTTTTTTATTACTCAACATTTTTGTGTTGATGCTCAGACCGTAGCTGTATGTTAATCATTTAAAATTACGCTTTGGAATATTATAAATGTTCTCTGAAATATGAACCTTAACTTCCAAGGAAGGAACAAGTCAACTGCAGCTAGTACTTCGAATATTGAACCTTGAAATGTGTAAACATTCTTAAAAGCTTTGTTTTTTATTTACATACTTATTATATTATTCAAAAAAGAACATCTTTTATCTTTTATCATCATTTTAGTTTCAGTTGTTTTCACTTTTAGACTTTACATTTTGTTCCTCTATGTTTTTGTTGTAGTTTTTACTTTTTTGTAATCATACATTCCTCTGATCTAATCTTCTTTTGAGTAATTATTTGTGCTATAATGAGTACCACGTGTTAACAAAATGAGTATAGAAGTAAATATAATTTTTTAGTTAATGCATTTTGAATGCAAGACTCACTAAATTATGTGTTTACTATTTCAAATTAAATATAATTTTTATAAGAAAATTTGTATAACGTAATTTCATACTTAATGTTCTAAAATTCAATTGATTAGTCTTCAAATTGTGTATACTAATTAATTAAATGTGCATTTACGCTACTAATAATGAGTATTAATATAAACTTCATAAATACAGATGTCAGCAATCAATATTACAATCATCATGAATGTGTATAATTACTATTTCGCAATGAACACAAATATATACATATTTTTCCCAAAAAAACTTTAAATTATCTATTTCATTTCGTAGTGAAGACTCATACCATTATAAATACATTACGAATAATTGGAAAAAACACCCCGCACTGTTTATTTAATGAATTAATACATTGTCTTACTTTCACACTCAAAGAATTTAAATTTAAAAGCTCACTCCTTAAAATTTTGTATAAGTAATAAATGAATTGAGAATAGTACTTACTAGTAATTATCATTAATACCTTAAAATGTGTATAAGTAAGCAAGGAAATGAGCATAGAACTTACTAATAATGATCAATAATATGAACTTCCCATAAGCATATGTCCTTATTTAATATTACTAACATGACTACTGTCATCCAAGCTTAATAGTAATATCATATGTCCCAAATACTAATATTGTTTAGCATGAATTAAAAAACAACAATATGTTCATCAACGCCCACAATCATCAATAGCATTACAAATCTTCTAGATATACACATTGTGTTTCTTCACTTGTTCCATGATGTTCTTCTTGATCTCATTCTTATCAGATGTTACTATTGCATGCAAGTACTTAATCCGCAGCATCTCAATTGGTTTTTCCTGTACAAACATTATAATTTAGATATTCAAGTTTTCACATAATTATTGTGTTTGAAAATTATATTAAACAATTTTGGACTTACACTTTGTTTATCTAATCCACACTCCCATGCTGTGTCACCATAAAATGTCTCCATGTGCCTCATCAAATAAACTCCCTCATTGGTTTTGTTTTTCTTGTTTCTCCAATGCATTTTAACCACTTCTTCCTTCAGCTTCACAACCTTATCTGCCTTTGGGTGTTTTTGATCTCGAAGAAATTTCACAAATCCACTTCTCTGTAGTTAAAAATTTCAAAAACAGAATTATACATATTCTTATGTTCATGCACATATTGTCTATGTAGTTGCTCAATTATCAAGTGCACATTACTCATATACTAAATCATCACATTATTTATCCATATGTGATAAAATAAAAAAGAAATATATAAAACGTTTACCAGGTATGACATTTGAAACAAGTACTTGACTGCAGGAGCTATATCTCCGTCGCTACTATCAATGATGTAGAACTTCATGCTCTTCAAGTCAAAGCACATCATATAGTAGCACCCATTGTATTCATCTGGGAATATGAATAGGTCTGTTGACCTCAACTTATTTCCATCTGCACAGGGAAATTCCTTGCCAATTTCTGCCGCAAACCTTTTGTTCCTTGTTTGTGGAGCGGTGAGATGATTTTGATCTAGCACATGCTGTCATTAAATATTATAATATATTAGTTTCATTTTAGTAATACTAAGTAAATGAATATGTACTTCTTACACATGGTCTTGTTGAGAAAATCATTCTGCTTTTAGCTTCAGGGCTTTTGAACTTTTCATTATGATTAAGCAACATTGCCCATATATCTATAATTCCAGCATCAACTTTTGTGTTGCTCTTCATTGTTTCCATCTGAGCTTTTGAAAGAGTGAAGTTGTAATGCTTGAACACCACAACACTGTTTGAAAAGAATTATTATATCAGAATGAGTAACCTTCAAATATTAAATGTGCATTATATTAAACGAAATGATTAAGAAAAACTTAGCGACTTACTTCTTGTCACAATGATCATTGAACACAAAACCTGCAAGTAGTCTTTCCTCACTGCCAAGTGTTGTCCTTGCATCTATACTTCTGTTCATGAATGGGGACTTCACAGCAGGTGCTGGGGCTGTTTCTCTTTTTTCTCTTTCCACTTTGTTCTCTTTTGGTTCAATGTGATATTGTTCAACTTGCTTACCCTTTCTAAACCTTCTGTCTCTTTCTTCTTCACATTCTTCCTTTTCAGATTCCTCTTCATCCTCATTAACATCCTCAGCATTGTCATTATCCTTATTCATTTGCTCACTTGGACCATCCTCTGCATGCTCAATTGCATTGCCATGTTGCTCAATTATGTCATGATGATGCTCATCATCATCCCCATATGTATTCGCCCCATCATTTGACTCCTGTGAAAGCAACTTGAAGCTTGGCTTTTCATACTGAGTAAAAGTTGGCCTCTCAACTCTTTTCTTCTGAGCCATTTCAATAGCTTCAACTGCTTTGAGCACTTCTTCAGTCCAGAATCCATCATCTGGAGTCAGTGACACTTCGGTTTCATTTTCTTTTTCTTTCTCCTTTTCTGATGAATATGTGTTGAAAAGCCCATGGACTTTTCCCATTAAAATCTTCATTGTCTCATCATCAGGTAACACCTTTGCAGCCTGTTGAAATTTTTCATCAAAATTGGCCATGCTTTCTGCCAAATTCTTCGCTGCTGCAGCAAACTCCTTCATAATATCCTGCAGTTATTTAATGATTAATGTAGAACAGTAATTGAGCATTCTTTATGTTATTATTGAGTTTATACTAAAATAATTGAATGAAGCATATATATTTTTAACACATTTATTATCTTTGTTTTTATTTAACTTCTTAAATGCACTCATTACTTTGTACTAAATACTCATATCTACATATCATACTTATCATTTATATATTTACCCAATTGTTTCTATTAAAATTACATAATACTGTCCTTACCTTCTTTGGCTCCTGATTACTGTTTCCCTCGATCGGGATTTCAGCTTCTTCTTCATTTGTGATCAGTTTTGGAACTATCAATTCCCCTTTGTTAGGTTCATCTATATATCCGTATCCAAAACCTCCAGTTTCAATTTCTTCCTTCTGTCGTTTGTTCAGCTTTTGTGTTGTCCAGCCAATAATAGATGGCAATGCTCTGTCCACTTTTCTGCCTTTGAACACAATGTTGTCTACATAGAACACCTACATATTTTATGAGATTTTAGAATTGTGTAGTGTATATGCGGATATGAGTAATAGTGTGGTAAAAATGAGCAATAACATTAAGAATTTGTAACTTACAATCAGAAATAATAAAGGCCCTGGGAACTGTCTTTCTCTATTTTTGCTCCAATAGTCCTTTGCTTCAATTAATGTTTCCAAAGTGTATCCACACCAATTCAGATCCTTGATTTTTGAATCATCCTGCAATGCCTTCAGAATGCTTTGATTGGCAAAGCAATTTTGCTTCCCTTCAATCAAACATGTTACCAGGAGAACCAAAAAATTCTTTTTAAACCATACTCCGCCTGCTTTGTTTTCTTCTATAACCTTCTTCACTTGAGCAGTCTTCACAACTCCATTTTCAGTCTGAAATTGTGATCTCCAATTAGCCACCATGTGTGAAGTATTCTCAGATTCAGTGTCAATCAAATTCTTCACATTAATCTTTCCTTTTGGAAACCCCAATGTCACGTGCACTCCATCTTCATTAATCCTCAACCTTTCATTGTTTGGCAGAAGAAGAGACACACTTCTGCTGTCAAAATTGTCCAGCAACCAATATGCCAACTACATTGGCAATTGCTTCACTTCAAGGTTCAGTAAGGGGCCAAATCCCATCTCAACCACCTCTTTCTTTTGTTCTGCACTTAGATTTTTCATTATTTCTGTTATACTACTCGGAGACATTCTTGTCCACAGCTTTGGGTATTTTGCATTCTCTTCCTTCTCTATCTCCTCTTCGTCCTCCTCAAATTCTTCCTCTTCTTCTGCTTTCTTCTTCTTTATCTTCTGCTTCTTCTCTTTTATTGAATCTGCTTCCCTTGTTATTTTCTTCTTTGCATGAACTTCTTTCTTCTTTTTCTGAACTTCATCATTTTTCTTTTCAGTTGCTTCTGAAGTTGTTGATCTTGTAGTTCTTCTTTTTGGACTAACTTCCTCGCTCTCTTTCTCTTTGCTTGAATTTCCTTGTTCTGTACTTTTCTTAATTGAGCCTGCATTATTTCTCTTTCTTTTCTTCTCATTATTTCTCTGTGCAGCTCCTTGTTGTACTTCTATAACAATCTGATTTTGTTCAATTTCCCTACCTTGTTGCTCATTTTCCCTTCCCTGTTGCTCAGATTCTTCTCCAACCTCCTCAGTTGTCTTACTGCTAGTATTCCTTGTTTCTTCAACATTATCATGTTGCTCAGTTTCAATACCTTGCTGCTCAGGTTCACTCCCTCGGTGCTCAGATTCTTCTACAACATTCTCAGTCATCTTACTGTCACCTTTGCTTGTTTCTTCAACATTCACATGCTCCTCAGTTTCCCTCTCTTGGTGCTCAGTTTCTTTCCCTTGGTGCTCAGTATCCCTCCCTTGTTTCTCAGATTGTTCTCCAACATGCTCAGTCTTCTTTGTGACACCGCGCCCGAACGTCCTTGAAAATTTGATTTAAAAATTCAAAGTTTATGTATTGGATTTCTGTTTCCCAAACAATTGTAAAACGATTAATGTTTTACGTAATTAATGATCGATTAGTGTACTGTTCGAACTCGTATATTAGTGACGGGCATGCAAATACTATTTGGGTCTTATTAATAAATAAAAGAGCCCAACATTATCCAGATTGTGATACATGACCTTTCAAGACAGTCCGAGTAAGGTCGGACGGCCCAAACGTTATTTTGAGTCCAACCTGCTAAAAATAGCAAGTATTCGAGAATGGCGTTCTAGACCCACTCGGGAGTGACCCACATGGCTAGTAGCCCATTAATATGTATGACAAATGTCAAATAAGTGATAGAATGATTAAAGAAGAATACAAATGCCTATAACCCCATCTTTGGCATTATTGAGCTAAATAATGGGAGTAGGATTTTCCTTCTATAATATCCATCAAGTAAATTATTGGGATGATCATACACATAATGGAGATCAATAATATGATGTAGAGAGTTGACTTGTTCTAAATAAATTAGAATGAGTACAAAGAGACATCTTATGACAAAGAGATCAAAAGTGAGACCCACCCATGTCTAAAAACATCTCATGGAGACCATACCAATTCATTTCACTCCACACAACTTATCCACCCTTATTGAAGGGTCTTGGACACTCCCTTAAGCCCCTCATTCGAACTCCCAAGGATAAGGGAGAAGGAGAGAGCCACACAACCAAGAAAGCAAGAGAAAGGGGAAGCTGCCGCAGGTTCGTTTTCCAGTGCGTAAGGTTACTTGTTTGCTTCATATCTCGAGTTATACACATCCAAATAAGGCGTGCGAGATACCCACAGAAAGCTCTCAAGACGAGGAATCCGTGAAGGTCTGGTTTGCATCAATCGGAGTAGTGGAAGGCTTCCAAATCGTCCGAGCAAAACACAACCTCGCGGAATACGTTTTTGTATTCAAGGTAAGTTTGAATCCAAAACTTTCCTCTCTATTGTCTAAACCATATAAATGATTGAAGAACTATTATACACTGATTGAAGTGTATAAAATGTTATTATAAAGTGACTTTAATTGTTGGAAAAGTTAGATACTAATCTAGACAAAACCTTGAAAGGTTAGGGAACGATTTCGTCGGGAACACCCGTTCTAGGGACTGTTTTTGTGTCCTCGGTTAGGAGTTGAACTAGCACTTTGGAGAGGCTGTTTAACACTCAATTCCAAGCAAGGAATCAGTTCTCAATCTTCCTTGGCCAAAGCTTTGACCATGGGATCAAGAAAGAAAGGTTTGAAGCTCAATTAAGGTGAGGATGACCGACTATATTGCTTATAATTATTGGGTTAATTTCATAAGATTACCTAAATGAATTATATGTGTTTGGCATGATTTATTTATAATATAACAAAATGCCTAAATGAGATTATTATTGTTTATAAGTAAAAGTGCATAATATACAAATTTATGAATAAATTGTGTATGATTATGTATTATGAATACAATGGTATAATAGCGTGTAAACTATAAATGAATTGTGATAAATATACTTTTACCTCATGTAAGGAAGTCATGGAAGGATAAAAGTGATATTTTGATATTAGAACCAAGTTATACTTGAATGTGGAATTAAATTGAAATAGCCAAATTACTATGAAATTGCATTGGCTTATTAAGGTTAAATGATTAGTATAGAAATACTAGCCGGGGATGTTAGCGTAAAAAGTGATAGAACAAATCCTAAGGGCTTGGATTGTGAAGGATGCACCTTAAGTAGTCTTATGAGATGTCTTAAGGTAGGAATGGGTAACCGCTAAATTACATTAGGAGTAGGCCTCATAGGCTACTCAAGATAGAGAAAACCTAGGCATAGAATTTGCTTAGTGAGTAGTATCGTGACTAGAGGAAGCCTCTAGCACGATGAGGAATGACTGGAGGAAGCCTCCAGCATTCGTGTAGGACGACTAGAGGAAGCCTCTAGCGTAGTGTAAGATGACTAGAGGAAGCCTCTAGCATAATGTAATGTGACTGGAGGAAGCCTCCAGCACAAAGTATGAAAGGTGATTAGAGGAAGCCTCTAACACCGAATGTAGTGACTAGAGTCAGCCTCTAGCACGACAAAACATGACTAGAGGAAGCCTCTAGCATAATGTAATGTGACTGGAGGAAGCCTCCAGCACAAAGTATGAAAGGTGATTAGAGGAAGCCTCTAACACCGAATGTAGTGACTAGAGTCAGCCTCTAGCACGACAAAACATGACTAGAGGAAGCCTCTAGCATGGTAAACTGATATAGATGGGTGTGGCTTGAAGTCACGGGGGAGGGGTTAAATGTTTTCAAAGTAAACATGAGCCTTCGGCCGACTACTTGACTTTATATATAAAGTAAGTATATTTGTAAAGAGGGTAACCACGAGTTATGACCTATATTGTAATATCACCCTATTTGAGGGTCTTGGAAATTGAAACGTTGATTATACTTAGTATAGTTGTCATTGTACTTGTCAAATGCTTCCAAGTACTGACCTCCCCTTCACGGGGGAGGCCACCTCACAGTTTCAGGTAGGACTTGAAGGTTGCTACCACGCCCGTTGCTTCGGGAAGATCAAAGGAGGAGGACGTGGTTCGTGCTTCTTCCGTTTCTGTTTTAAACAATTACAATAATGCTCATGGAAATTATTTTGAATACTATTTGGGGGCTTGTATGCCCATGTTTGCCACGTGTGGCTTGAATACGTGTATTAATGTTTCCGCTGCTTTAAATGAATATTTTACATTAGGTTTGTTTATGGATGTACTATGTGTGAATGGTATTCAAGACGCCTAGTATAGTATGTATGAGTTGGACTGCGGTTGACTATTCGTACTGTACGGCGGGTTGTTGACGTGTCCGGTAGGTCCGGGGCGTGACATTCTTAGTGCTATCCTTCCTTACTTCTGCAACCCTTGTTTCTTCATCACTCATCTTTATCTCAGCTTCAATTTGTTTTATTAAGTCCATATTCGCCTTTTCCTTTTTTGGAATTGCTTTTGGTTTCATCTTCTTCTGCTTCTGTGGAACTTTGGAAGTCTTTTTTACTCTCTTTTTTGGATTTGAGCGCAGCACTGGGATCTCACTTATAGGTCGTGGATCTAAAATCCTGTATTATTAATTAAAATGAGTAATATATATCAAATCATGAGCACACAAAATATTATTTTGTAACTCTATTCAATCACAGGCATATTCTATACAAACTATATTTATATGTAAATGTAGTTTATGACAAGCATATTCTAAAACAAATTTTTCATAGCTTTTTAAGAAAACATAACACCATATGGTTATTTGAAAGTACTAATCAACTTATGAGTATCAGTTCACTTTTAAATTAACATTATGAATAACTAACATATTATCACCAGTTTTCAGTACTATAAAATTGTGACACACTGTTTTACAATTTGAGCATCTTACACTCACATTATGAGCACACACACAATGTCCATGCAAACGAATTACAGAACAAGTATATTGTATAACAAAAAATCTACTGCACTTCATGACACATTGTTCATGAAACAATGTCTATTTGTTCATTTGATACAGTGTTCAAATAATGAGTATGACTTCAATTTTAATGTCACATTATGATTAATTAGCATAAACACATATGAATCATAAGGATATTATTCAACAAGTACAGAAAATTTAAAGCACATACCACTCCATTCATAGATGAGTATTGTATACCACAGATTGAGTATTTTATCATCTTAGAAGTAACCTAATTACAGTATCACCATGTTCTAACTAGTTAGTAATGCATATGACCTAAAGTAGAGTAAAATGAGCAATAACCTTCGTATTTTGAACAAAACCTCAAATGATATACTTAATAAACACATATCATGCATCAAATTCATAATCTGCTTCAGATTTGTCAAAATCATTTCATTTTTTCTATAATTTTCGAAACATGCAAGTATATTGTTGAATCATTACTTGAATACAAATTTGAACACTATAATATTACATACCTCTCTGATCCTTCTGCAGTT